CGTAGCTTTGGCTACAAAATAAAATATCCCTAATCCCCAAATCTTCACCAATATTGAAACCCAGGGCAGTTTTGGAACTTATGATATTAGTTCATGTAACATCCTCTGCGAAACGAACACATTTTGCCATGGCGTCCTTGATCTCTTGTGCTTAGTATCCGAGCTACAGAAACCATATTCAATGGACATTGAACCCAGGATAATTTTTCGGGAATCTGGTCTTTGTTTCTGTAATCTCTTCGAAGCAAACAACTCTGGTCTCGGCGCCCTTCTTCTATTGTGCCTAGTTTCCGAGCTACAGGAAACGTCCTCCACGGAAATTGAACTCTGAACGCTTTGACGTTGTTCTGAACCCTCACCCCCATTAACGTTTCCTCATGTCAAGGACTAAGCATGCTAAATTTGATGCAAATCGGTTGTCCGTTCTCGAGATCTAAGTGAACAAACACAATTTCAACTGGGTAGAATGTTTGAACCTAAGAGAGAATTCGTTCCAGGAGGTTGGGAAAAAATACACAATGAAGAGATCCATAATCCGTACTCGTTTTAAATATTATTATGGTAATTATAGAAAGAAAACTGAGGTGGACCGGACATGTAGGACGGATGGGAGATAGAAACATTTACAAAATTTTGGTTGACAAGTCTGAAGGGAAGAGACCGCTTTGAACACCTAGGCTTTCTTCTGGAGATACTATCAAAATGGATCTCAAGAAAATAGGCTGGGAACTACCTTTACTCCGAGATCGGCCAAGCGCCAAGTCGAAGGAAAACCCCGAACTCTGGGCCGAGGATGTTATTAACGCGCTGCTTGTTCGCGGTTATCGTACACCTTTTGGGTCTAAGATAAAGGAACGGCATATAGAGGAACGGCATAATGATGAAAACAGGGGAAAAACGAATAACTCGGAGGAAGTATTAGTCCAGTGCCACTTAGTCTATCACGAAATCTCACCTAAAGTCACCTGGGACTGAACCCGATTATCCGCGGTAAAATGTCAGCGCCCAGGTCTGACATATGGCTTGGCCATTGGGATTTTTAAAACCTTTAAAAACTTGTGGAACAGATATAAGCCTACATTTTTGTACGCTTCGTACATGTAGGTGCTGCAATTTTACGAGTAATTTTAGTTTATGAGACCATTTAGATCAGCATACTCTGTAGCGTTGATGGCCAAAAGTTACTGCTTTCTGCGCTAGACGAATTACATTGTATTAATGCCCAATGGACTGTTGGTTCTTATTTAACATTTCTTACATGCGATGCTGAATTTTTTGTAGTTATTCCACTTTTAGTCTCTCATGAATTTTAAATCTGAATATTTCTTTATTCTGAGTTGTTGCGCTGTGTAGTCTGGTAGATGTTTACCAACGTTTCAGAGGTCATACTGCGATTCATCGCCCTGGCGACGGAGGCAATATGACCTCTGAAACGTTGGTTAACAACTACCAGACTACACAGCGCAACAACTCAGAATACAGAAATATTCATACTCACTTCCGTGAAAACCTCAACTCATACATTTTAAATCTATTGGCATTTGTATGACTTATTATAAGTTTAACAGAAGCTAGAATTTTCCTCGTTCATTGGATAACAATTTAAATAAATTTATACTTGGTGTGTTCATAAAATATCGAGTTATAATGTCTATATACAGAGTGCAACAATTACATTAAGATACCTGTCTTCTAGGATTTTGTTCTGTAAAGTCTGGTAGCAGTTTAAAGACGTTTCAGATATCCTTGCTGCTTCCATTAGAGAAATCTACCAGACTACACGGTCCAACATCCCGCCCACTATGAGATTTTGAAATCTGATCAATGATTTTACTACTTTGAATAGTTATAAATATTTTATTAATCACAGCAGTGACATATTTGTTCGTATCACAATTCACAATTTTCTTTTTGTTATGCGTCGCTTATGAAGTGTTCCACAAACAGCCATTTAAGTTCTTTGAATTAACACATTTGTCTAATGGTGGTATCAAACTTACCTTGTAAATGTATCATGACTACGTTTTGATTAGTAATATCTTTTTATTTCACTACCGTCATAACGGGGCTACCCATAATTGTTTGAGCGTTGTCTGTCCTGTAGTTGCGTGGAGCAGTGGATTGGGTGTGGCGACTTACCATGCAATGGATCGATGTGGGGTGGGGGGTTTACCACAATGAACAAGACGGAAGCGGCTTCACTCTTTCGCTGAATTAGTGGTTTCCAAAACTTCCTAATGGAATCGTAGCCTTGCAACTGCAGTCTCAACTCTTTTAATTCCACTTTGATCGAAGTTAAAGGACAACAACGCAAGGAAAGAAAACACAATTCTTTCAGAATGGGGCAGTGGTGTTGATGTAAGTCAAATCCCTGCTCTGACAGG